GGGGGGGGGGGGGGGGGGGGGTGTTCAAACAAACCCTTAGTTACACCTTCGAAGAGGGGATACATTTGAAAAGAATTACAGTACTTAAAATATGAAAAGTTATAAACACATATCACTGTCTCTCTCCCATCTATTTCCTTTATGTAATTTGTGATGCGCCAGGAATAAAAAAATAAAAAAAATCCTCACACCAAAGAATCAGTATTAAAGGAATATAATGGTTAGTTTTCGACCAAAAACCCACACATTACCTTTGCTAAAGTGCCTGAAATATGAAGAAAGGGAGAGGGAGGAATCTTTCGTATGCTAAAAGTTCACTCACTGTACTCTAAGACTTGCATAGCAATAGCAATAGAACTGTTAAGCAGAAATAAGAACTAATGAAAATGCATAGCAAATTCCCAGACAACCAATTATTTATTATTATGCTTTTATTTAATAAAGAGTGAGAAGTCAAAAGACTATGCTGTAGAAACGAAGTAAGAACGAAACAAACTGGAAAATTTAGGCAACATATGGGAAAAAGTTGAAAAGGTTCACAGTGTAATTCTGACGAATAAAGGGTAGCAGTGATCCTTGTCATAGTTTGGCCAGGAGTTATCCCCGTCAATGAATACTTGATGACGCCTCCAAATTTCGTTTTCATACATTTCAGTTATGCTGAAGTTCAACCCATTATCCTTAACTTCTACCAGAAACTTATCCAACGAATCACCTCTTTTGGGGCTAAAAAGTATGGCTTCAGACGGGCCTTCTTCTTTAAGCAAGCATCTGATAGTTTGCGCAAGGCCTTTGTGGAATTCTTTGAAGAAAGTGCTGCAAAATGACAAATGAAGCAAGAATGAGCTTGTCATGATCATAAGAAAAATCATTCTGGCTATTGTGTGGAACAGCCTAAAAGGTTCGTGCTAATTGGTAATAATGATTTTTGCATCCAAAGATCTGACCCTCACTGAAAACGATTCAATCACCTTACCGAACTATAACCCATAATCATAGTTAAATGGTTGGCGTATCACCGTGTGGGTGGGGGAACCCATAGGAAGCATGGACTACCCGCCAAATTCACATCAGAAATCACCATCATGATTAAATACCTGCCCATCTAACCAGCTGTGGGAAGAAGAGGGTCATACAATGGCTAAACTCATTACAACTTAATTCCCATATGGTATTATGAAGACAAGCATCACCTGGATATTACTTTTATAATCTACTAAAATGGTCATATCACTGATTCACACGATTTTCACAACATAAGAAGCTAAGAAAATTTTAAGCATTCAGTTAAAGCGGAACACGGAAGGAGAAATTTGAACTTGGTTTTTTTGATGAAAACTAATTACCAGTCACTTGCAATGACAATGTCAAAGGTACTGGATACACTTGAGACATCATTATGATCCCAATGCAGCATCATTGATGTTACCTTTGTACCACAAAATGCAACTGAGTTGGCATCTATGTTACGCTGGACGTCTGATTGTTAAGAGCTTCCAACCATAGCACAAGGGATTTCACAAGACATTCAAACCAGCGACTCCTAAATTGTGATACTAATGCAGTAGTGCTATTACAGATACAAAATTATGTGCATGCGTAAATTGCACATTGATGGAAGAAAAGAAAAGGCAAATTAACGACTAAACCACCAATTTTTTTGCATAGCTGAAAACTTGGGAAAAAGACATAATTCTAAATGGCATGCTCTGCATAAATCTAATTGATTAGAATAATATAAAACATTAAATTTGGTGACAACAACATAGCTCAATAACCCAAATTTGTCTCTTGAACAATTGGATCATTTTTGTGCATTCTATTTATACAAAGCTTTTGTAGGGAATGTGTGTATTCCTAGATCATTTTGTTCCAGAACGTACAAAAGCAAAAGATTGTGCATTGATGGATAACATAGATGCACAGACAGATAAATGCAAATATGCGCAAGCAAGATTGGTCTAATACTAAAATAGCAATACAAGCTTGGGATTTATGGATAAGACCCAGTCCATCATATATCTCAAAGAGTTCAAATCAAGTAACACTCTAGGTAAATAATCTGCCCCTTAGCTTAAAAAACCATCAGTAGCCTCCATATATTCTCCACCCACACAGCTTGCATACACAGCCATATTCCACAGGTACCTATTACTACGATGCACAATTGCATTTTCAGTGGTCCAATCATCATATTTATTCAAATAAGAATCATGATTCATTACTTGTAAGTTAACTATTTTCATATTAGTCAATCTTTTATCTGCTATCAGGTTAAATACATTGCCTTTCATTGCAGGAAGACAGCAAAAAATTAATCATTTGATGCCGTACACCACAGGTCCAAACACTGATGGCATGCAGGGAGAATTAGATGATGCTAGACAGTATTATGGAATAATAAAAATGGTACATTGTACCGTCTTTTATAGCATTGTGTCCCAATTATGCACTAAACATTTAGTTATCTGTCCACTAAAGAGATGATCTGATGCATGGATATACTTATTTCCAAGTTCCAACATCTGATTAGACCAAATCAAAAGGATACAATCAACAACTTGAGGATTTCCATCTGAGATCACTACTTCTAATGCATCTGTGACCATTGCAATAACTAAGCCAGCTAAGCCATAGCCTGATCCAAGTTCGATTACTCTTTTACTCCTGGAAAATTTAAGAAAGCATAAAAAAATTGATACCGCATAAAAACATTCATTTAAAAATCAGGCGGTGAGAATGAATAACATCATAATAAACCTGAACATATCAGCATGCGACAAGCAATAATAGGTAAGGACATCCTCTGATGGCCACTGACCTGTTCAACAAGAAAGGCCCAAAACTATGAAAAAAAAAAACAACAACAAAATATTAAAACTAGTATCACATATTTTCTAGATATATGAAAAGAACTGAAACTGGTTTTAGCGATTCTACAGTGGTTCAATTTTTTTTCCAACCCAGTTAGGAAACTCTAAATTATGCACTAATAGGATGTTACAGAATGATTTCAGGCTAATTTAAACCGATGCACACTTAGGATACAATAGAATGAACATTGAAAAGTTAAGCCCCTATTTGGTAAAAAAAACCCAGTTAGGGAACTCTAAATTATGCACTAATAGGATGTTACAGAATGATTTCAGGCTAATTTAAACCGATGCACACTTAGGATACAATAGAATGAACATTGAAAAGTTAAGCCCCTATTTGGTAAAAAAACCCAGTTAGGAAACTCTAAATTATGCACTAATAGGATGTTACAGAATGATTTCAGGCTAATTTAAACCGATGCACACTTAGGATACAATAGAATGAACTTTGAAAAGTTAAGCCCCTATTTGGTAGCCATTTTTTTGGAAAAACATTGTTTTGAATAGTGAGTTTTTGGAAAATGTGTGATTAAAAAGTAGGGAAAAGTTTAAGGTTTACGTATAGAATACTTTATTGTGTGAATGTGTAATAATAGACCATTACCAGGGCACTCAAAATAAATGAATCCTTATTTTCTTATAGTAGTTGAACATATCAATTACCGAATACTAGTTCCATAGCTCGAATTGAAGATTGAAGTGCAAGAAATCAACCTTTTGAGTTCTACATCTATTTCTTTGTCTCAGATGATGCCTTCTCATATCTTTTGTGTAATTTTAATACAATAATGCTAGGCTAAATCTCGTGTATTGGATGAATGATGAAATCTATTGATTGCCTTTTGAATTCAAAAACTCGAGTAATTTTAGTTAATTCTTGTGTTCTTGATTAAATATGCAGACTATTGTATTTGTTTGAATGCTTGATGATCACCATTTAGACAATTAGTTGCTTATTTGTAGTGTTCAAACACTCATAATAAGTAGAACACTACGTATTGACACATGGGAAATATGTGTTAGGAACGACATTTATGGCATCTGTAATCTTATTCGATAATTGTGTGATTAAATACTTTATTTGCATATGAATTCGGACTAAGACTATAATCGGGTCATGCTTAGAATATGTTTAATATATTTTGGAAAAGAATATTAGATATTGATGGATTATCTATTGTCATGAACATTTGAAGAAGACTAACTTACATGATTTGAGAATTGAAAATAGAGATCAATAAGTGAATTCAATACATTTATCATATTATTTGATAAGAACAAATTTTTTACAGTATTTTTAGCTTAATTTAGGATAATTACAAAACAACCGCTCTTTTGTATTACAAACATCGAGGGTGTGTTTGAGGGATATTATTTTGGAAGAATGTATTTTGGAATAGTAGATTGATGGAGAATATGTGGTTGAAAAAGAAGGAAAAGTTATTGATGTGATGGAAAATATTATTTTATTGAAGAATGTGTGATTGAAAATGAGTAGAAAAATGAAAATGAAAATGAAAATTTTAATGCGTGCCAAACAGAGGCCGAATTTGATACATACTAGTGAACTATAGTTAGCAATTATTCCTCGTGGGATGATAATTCAACTCATCACATTATTATTTGTCAGCAATCCCATACGCTAGCTGGTTTTATCCGAACAGAATGGTCCACTAGCAACTGAATAATGCTATAGAACAATACTTTTATGCACTACGGAAGCCTCACACACAAACAACAAGCACGAGGGTGAGAAATCTTCTAGCACAACAGAGACTAGGGTGTACCGGACCAAGCCCGAATCGAACGGTTCGATTTGATTCTAAAAAAAAGATTAATATTTTTGATTTTTCGAATCGAGAACCATTTGGTTCTAGAACCAGAACTAAAAAGGTTTTTCAAATTAATAAATCAAAATTCACACCAATAAATTTTTTTTTTAAAAGTAATCAAATATTTTATTAATCAAAACTTCATACACAGGATGTGTATCCTCAATACAAATCAGAAATGAACAATATGAAATTAGGCAGCCCATCGATATGCCTAGAAGCCACAGCATTAAACCAAATGTACAATGTCAAGTAAAACAACTCCCTAAACTGCTCTGTCGTCCGTGTTTAGTCTTCAAAACAGCGTCCGTTTCTTTCTCTCTACATATACCAAACAATGCATCCCGGAATAAGGTCCCAAACAAGTTTGCTATCCTTATCTCGAAACTTTCTCCTCCAAGTATTTAACACGTCCTCCATACTTCTCGGCATCACCCAATCCATATGCTGCATCACCAAGATATCGTTCCACAGGAGACGAGCAACATCACAATTAAGAAATATGTGATCAATCGTCTCCCCATCCTCCCTACACATATAACACCACTCGATAACATAAAAACCACTAATGCGAAAGTTATCCACCGTTAACACTTGTCATCTGACCACCGTCTATAGTAAAAATGTCACTCGTGGAGGCAATTTACATTTCCAAACCATCTTCCAGGGGAATGAACTCTCTTCAACTCCCGATAGAGATCTGAAATAGGTGCGAACCGAAAAAATACCATATCTTGTCAGTCTCCACCTGCTACAATCATCCTCTTCCGCCCTAATGTGTGCCTAGTATAAAGATGTCAGAAACAATGCATAATCAACTAATTCCCAGTCCTGCAGAACCCGACAAAAAACAATATTCCAACTGGAACTCCCATTATGAATATCTAAGGCATCATTTATCATGGCCGACAATTCCAGCGCAATACGATACAAAGAAGGAAATCTCATCATAAGCGGTTGAACTCCATACCAACAATCACCCCAAAAGCTGATTGTGTTACCATTGCCCACAACAAATGTCGACCTTTCCCTAAATTCGCTCCAACCTCGCCGAATATACCGCCACAAACTCACCCCATAAGAACCACGTCTCTCACTTGAGCACCATCCCCCCTCCATAACTACATATTTTGCCCCAATAATAATTCTCCAAAAACTCTCCCTCTCCACTCCAAATCGCCACAACCACTTACCCAACAAGGCCTTGTTAAACAACACAAGACTTCTCAATCCGATACCATCGATTCTAATAGGAGAACAGACCGCACGTCAATTAACCAAATGCAACTTCCTCTCCTCTCCTAATCCTCCCCAAAAAAACTCCCTTTAGATCCTCTCTAATCTCTTTGCTATTGCAATAGGAATGGGAAACAGTGACAAAAAATAAGTAGGAAGATTCGACAGAGTGGACTTTATGANAAATAAGTAGGAAGATTCGACAAATGGACTTGATGAGAGTAAGACGGTCTCCCTTCGAAAGGTACATACTCTTCCAACCTGCTAATCTCCTCTCCACCATTTCCACAATACTGTTCCAAATCTGCGTGCTTTTAAACCGTGCTCCTAGAGGAAGTCTAAGATATGACATAGGCAATTGTGCCACCCTGCAATCCAATATCTCAGCCAACCCCTCTACATTGTCGACCTCTCCCACTGTGATAGCCTCAGATTTCCCCAAATTTATTTTCAATCCAGAGAGAGCTTCAAAGCATAGGAGTAAACGACGCAAGTTCCTGAATTGCTCAACGTCCGCATCGCAGAAAATCAACGAATCATCTGCGAATAGCAAATGAGAGACTTGCAACTGCTCAACCGCAAAACCCCTTAATAAAGTTTGCCCCACAGCTTTTTCAAGCGTCCTACTAAAAGCTTCCAAAATAATGACAAATAGTAATGGAGATAGAGGGTCCTCTTGTCTCAATCCTCTACTACTGCGAAAGTAGCCCTCTGGGGTACCATTCACCATAACTGAGTACGAAACCGTAGAGATACAAAACTGGATCCAGCGATACCATTTCTCCCCAAAACCACATCTCCTGAGCATATACAAAATAAATCTCCAGTTAACGTGATCATATGCCTTCTGAATATTGAGTTTACAAAACATTCCTGGAACCCTAATCTCAATCTGGAATCAATGCATTCGTTTGCTATAAGTACGGAATCCAAAATCTGGCACCCTTTGACGAAGGCATTCTGAAATTTAGACACCACCTTTCCCAACACCTCCTTTAATTTATTCGCCAAAATCTTCGCAATAATCTTGTAAACCCCACTCACTAAGCTAATAAGATCAAAGTCTTTAATATCTGTCGCTCTCGGTTTCTTAGGAATGACCACAATAAATGTAGCATTGATGCTACGTAAGAATCTTCCACAATGAAGAAATAAGTAAGGACGTCTATAATGTCAGATCACACCACTTCCCAACAACCCTTATAGAATGAGAAAGAGAATCCATCGGGTCCTGGAGCCTTATCGTCATTCATGCTGAACACCACCTTCTTGATTTCATCCTCCCCAAATGACCTTTCTAACCAAATAGCATCCTCCACATCAATTGTAGAAAAGTCTAGCCCCTCAACTCTGGCCTCTAACCCAACTTCTCACTATACAAGGACTGATAAAAGCTAACCATATGGGTTTCGATATCAAGTGGATCGTCATAAGTGACCCCATCAACCTCCAACATAGTGATTAGATTGTTGCGCCTATTGGAGTTAGCTACCTTATGGAAAAACTGGGTGCATCTATCTCCCTTTTTCAACCACTTGATCCGAGATTTCTAACGCCAAGCAATCTCATCCGTCTCCACCAACCTCTCCAACTCTTCCCTTAATTCTCCTCGCCTTGCTCTATCATCTCCTACCAATCCATGGTTTTCCTCCAACCTATCCAATTCTTCGATATTTGAAAGACATTGAATTTTGCGAAAAGTGACATCTCCCACTACCGCCTCATTCCACCTCTTAAGATCCTCTTTCAAAACCTTCAATTTTCGATCCAAGACATAACTAGGAGACCCCCTGAAATCATAGGATACCCACCAATTCCATATTCGTTCCTCAAAACCTTCCACTTTTAGCCACATCCTCTCAAACCTAAAAGGCCTC